TCGACTGAGGAAGTCTCTCGGATGAGAGACGAAACGTTTCTACATTTTTTTGTTGATTTGCTTTGTTTTGTTTTTTTGAATGTCCAGAGGACCAGATTTAACTTTTTTAGATTATCCTGATTTAGTTTTAAATTTTAATATTTACTATAGTGTTTTTTTTTAGAGCACTATAAATACTTTGCTGTTATGCGCCTAACTTAAATCAAAGTTAGTTTGTGTTCAAAGCTCTTATTTATTGCTTGCTGTTTTATTTGTATCCCATTAGAGCCTGGACTGTCCCATCCCATTTATTATTGCACTTGTTTCCTTTCAGTATTTCTGTCAGCTGCTTCTTTGGTCAGACTCATCCTTCAGGCAGTGTGGAACTTTGAACTGCAGCTGCTGACTGTGGGATTTTATTTATTTATTTGTGCCTTTTGGGATATTCACAGCATGCTTGATTACCATTTCAATAAAACCCCAAAGCAGGTGGAAAACTGGTTATTGTCAACCTCCATGAGGCTGCAGGAAAATAAGAGTCATTTCCATTGGGGGCAACACTCTAGAGAACCATCTTAAAATATGTCTCTGCCTTTTCACAGAGTAAAAGTAACATTTTTGCAGTGAAGCACTTCATATTCATTATGTTACAAATACTTTGGAGAATGCTAGTGAGTTCCTTCTATGTTCCCACAATCACCCAAACATTAAGTAAAAGGTTGAAGTCATGTTATTGTTGACTATCAGCAAAGAAAAGGAGTTTTTGAGTTGGTATTGATGTGAACATAAGATGTATAGAACATTTAAGGCACCTATCATAGGTATGTCATGCCTGTTCACAAAAGATTTAAAACTGCACTCGTGAGGTTTTCATTCTCTGCTAAACTTTTTATTTACCGACACTACAAGTGACAGAAAAGAGAAAAAATAAACTTCCATCTGACATTTTTGGAAGCTAACAATATAAATGCCAAAAATGAAGGAAACAGAAGTACATATGAGAGTACAAAAAGCATTAGGACTTGTTATATGAGGGTTTTCAACAGTTCAAATTTAGTTGGCAATGTTTTATATTTTAAAAATCATAAAACAACATTTATCTGTTTACTGTTCTTAGGAAGCTGGGAGTTAGAATTGTCTACTGTGTAAAAAAAAAAAAAAAAGGAAGATGATGAGGGCAATGAAATGACCCATCAAAAAGCCTCTGAAGTGCACTTCACTCCAAAGAGTTCGAGATAGGGATCTGCTAAGTGGTTGACAAGAATATTTATGACGAGGACGCTCAATCAGAGCTTAACCAGCATGAGAATGTGAGAGGTTTTTATTCACTTTTGTTTAATTTATCCTTCTCTTTAATGTTAAAACCTACAATATGAACACAAACTTGACAGAATATAATTCCTGTCTTGTTATTTACGTTTGTCAGTATAATGTGGATTTGAATACACGTAAAGATAGCTTTAATGTTTGGAAGCCAATTCAGCTGCACACCACAAAGCAACGTGTACTTTAATGAGAACAGTGGCCTGAATGCAACCTCTCAGGTGGATATTTATCTATTCATCCTGTAGGTTCAGTTTGAAGCGGCTTATTAAATACAAACAGTGCAAAACAACGTTATTTACTTAGAGATAAACATCAGTAAACAGCTGCCGACTCGTTCAGATTCATAACCAACATTTAGCTCACCACTCATGGACAGGATTATATATTTAGTTAATTGCTGTTTATGTACGGTACATTAGTATGCAGCAGCAAACAAAACTACAACATCTTTATTATTTTAAAGAGAAATAATGTAATTAACTGGTTGTATCTTGATTGTTTTCAATTATCAATTACTGGAGACCTGGACAGGTCTCCAGTCCATCGCAGGGACACATAGAGACAAACGAGGCAACCATTCACTCTCTCACCCACACCTAAGGACAATTTAGAGTTACCAATCAGACTAACACACATGTTTTTGGTCTCTGAGAGGAAACCCATGCATGCACAGAGAGAAAGTATAAATTCCATCCAGAAAGGTTCCTGGCTGGGATTTGATCCGGCGACCTTCTCACTGAGAGGCAACAGCTCTACCAACTGAGCCACAGTGCCACTAGTTATTAAGTTATTAGTTAACTTCTTTAATAAAATAAAAAATAAACAGCATTATTAGGAGGTTTATTGATCTTAAGGAACTGCATTATCGGTAATAAGCAGCATTTATAATTTAATTTTCTGGTCTTGTTGACCATTCAGAAAGCTTTTACTCAACATTCATTCATTCAACTCAACTCAAGTGTATTTTATTTTTTATTTTTTTTTGCAAATGGATATGTAACTCAACATTCTCTACAAAGAAAAAATCAAAAGCATTAATTCATTCAACCTTTATTTAGACAGGTTAAGCATGATTTATCTAACACATCTATTTGGAACACAGAATAAAAAAAAACATTATTATACCACAGAAAACAAAACACTACAAATTAAAAAAAAGTTGTTGGTTTTTTTATTCTCAGAAGAAACTAAAATAAAATCTGTAAAAAAAAGAGTAAAAGCATATATCTGAAAATCAATGCAAATAGTTAAAATAGTGTTCAGTGAAACAACAACTCATCAAAGTGGTATCTAACATTAAGCTCTGCCAAATAGATTCGTGCTCGTCTTTGATGGCAGTGAGGATGTTAGTGTTTGGTACCCAAGTGTGGAACTCCTATTAGATATTTTTTGGTCAAATGTTATGGTTGTTATTATTACTATGGCTGAGAATCTTATCTCTGCCCATGAACCATATGTTTGGGTGAACAAAGAGAGCTGAGTGAAGAGCTGGGTGAGCTGGAAGAGGAGCTGGGTGAGGCTGCAGCAGGCAGCTGACTCTAAAGCCACCTCCCGAGCTCAGTAAACTCAGCTGAACTGCTACGGATATCAAAGCAAGCTGAGGGGGCAGTACGAGGCAGATTCTCATGACTAGACTTTGTGTGTACATACAGTACAGTAGTTACTCGTTTATTGCAGAGAATCCGTATCCTGAAGCCCCGCAATAAGTGAAAAACTGGGAAGTAGGAATAGAAGAACAAGTAGTAAGTAGCAGTTTATTTTAGTATTTATAGATAGATAGATAGATGGATAGATAGGTAGGTAGGTAGGTAGGTAGGTAGGTAGGTAGGTAGGTAGGTAG